CAAACACCCAATAAATATTCAATTTAACAATTGAAAAAAAATTACCAAAAAAGGAACAAGCTTGTTCCTTTATTTGGTTTATTAAAACAGTGGGCATGTTTAAAAAAACATGCCCACTGTTTTTTTTTTTACTTATTTCTTCATCTGTTTCAGGGAACTCAGTCCAACAGATCGGCCTCAGCCTCCCAGTCATCATCATCAAACAGGAGGAATCCTGCCAGTGTCATTGTGCCTGCAGGGACTCTGCTAAAGACAAGAGTTCAAAGAGTGCCTCCTCCATCGTTTCAGCCCCTGTACCGCAGCAAGCACCAGAGCCCCCTCCTCCCCCACTACCACAGCCCCCAGAGCCTCCCCGCCTTCCATCCCCCTCGTGCTGTCTCCCCAAGTCTTCCTCCACGGTGGGTGAGGTGAGCCTGGAGGCCGCCTCTTCTTCTTCATCTTCCTTAGCTCAGACTTTCTCCACGTCCAACCCTCCCTCGGCTGACAGTCTAAGCAACATGGACGTCTCAGACTTCCTCTCCCTGCAGAGCCCTGGGACAACTGCCAACATTGAGGCGCTGCTGCTGGTCACGGATGAATTCAACATGGCCACCGACGGCAATCCTTAAAAGAGCTGCCTTCTGAGTCTGGCACCACATGTTCGCCTGTTGCACCCACTCATCCACAGTCATCGATTCCACCCACATCTGGAGTCACTGTCCTCAGTGACGCCTCGTCTTTCTCCTTATATAGCGTGTGCTTGGAGCCCCCCGTACCTGCAGTGCATTCTGTTCTGTATGGTATTGTGCAACATATATACACAAACTCTGATGACCCTTCTCTGGTGAGACATTACAGTAGTTGCGTTTTTAGAAACAGGATTAGTTTGCTTATTGAGATTTAGCAACGTGAATGCTAATTAATGCAGGGAAAAAGCAGTAGATCCTTTGTTTAAAAGACTTAATCAAACTGTATATAATAACCCTGAGTGTTGTCCAAGCACTGATAACTGAAGAGTTCCAGTTTTCTGGCTCGAAGGTCCTGAGCAGGAAAACAAACGTGTCTGTATATCTGTGTACTGTACTACAGGTCCCTAACAAATGCTTAAAGCTGGTATGCAACTGACCAGAATGCACTGTATGTTAGAAGAAATTGCTATAATTTTGTCAAGCATTGCTCCCAGCAGGAATTTGAAGGGGTCCTCCATGTGGCCCTGCCTATGGCTGTCGAACAAGATGAAGTGATTCCCTCAGTATTTTGGTTTTCTAGGCAGGATTCTCTCCTATTTCTTTCACTGAGGAAGAACCTGTGATCAGATCTGCCTGTCTCTTCAAGTGAAATCAACACATCAATAAGTTGCCTATAACTTAAGATTAATTTAAATTTGTACATGTTAATTTATTTTAATGCTTGATTATTTCATTATACTTGTAATACTATTGTTTTCAAGATAGCAGAAAAATCTATTAATTTATTTCAATCATTTGTTGTGTTTTTAAGTTGAAAATGTTTGTTACTGAATTGTTTTCCTATGAACGTAATGGGTTTCGCTAAAAGCAAGTTTTCGAGGAAAGAGGCACCGACGGTCGATGCAGAGTGAAGCAAATTATCCTCTAGGGTCTGCTTGTTTGCAGAAGTTGTCCACAATGAAAACAGTAACAGTACTGTCGACATCCCATGTTTAATAGGGCTGTGACCCTCTCAGGGATGCATCAAGTCATAACTGATCCTAGTTCCCTTAATCTGTCGCTCAGACATGCGTTTCTCTTCACCCGATGCTCCCACACTTGCAGTAGCCCGACGTTTTTTGCTGCACTCTTCCCTGTTTATTGCACACTGACTTGTAAAGTGAGTAATCCGACAGCTCTCGTTAGCTGAGGTGCAGCACCACTACAGACTTTTTGTACACAACTGCTGTAAAGTAGCATTTAAAAAGATGGTGTCCTGGCGACAGTGTATATACAGTACATTTTAGTGTAAACATATTTGAGAAACTTGTAGATTATTCTAGAATTTGTATTTTTGTATAGACTTTTGAATTACTAACTCTTGAGCGTGAAGCTAATGTATTCCCTCGAACGTTGCACCCCCCGCTTCCCCAGTCACATTCACGCAGAATATTGTGTTTGCTGTAGTTCTACAAGCAGCTGGGTTTCTGTACAGTCCCCATTGTAACAAAACTATATGTAACACAGCCCCCTGCTTAGAGTATAATTTAACAGTATTGCTTCACATGGGACATAATGCAATGATGATAGAGCAAAGGCATTGTGCCCTGTATACTAGAGTGTAGAGCTGCTCGGCCTTACAACATTAACTGTTCTGTACCTCCTTGCCTTGACAGTCTGACATTGATCCGACACGCTCATCTTCACCAGGGCTCAGGAGACTCGCATCCAAGAGGAGATCACACGGAGGCAAAAACCCTGAGACAGGAAGCTTTGATTCGTATCGTTTTACAGTTGTAATGTTGTGGATATGCAGCATTTAATAGATTATATACACACATGGCTACGTAAAAGGTGCAGGTGATGTGATTCTATGTTTGAGGTCCAGGTTGTAGGATCAAAACTGACATGTTGTTAATATCTGGCTTTTTTGTTTCCCTATAATTTGCTGGAGCGGAGCTTTCCCCTGATTCATGTGTTAAATGTGTTTTGAAAGATTATGTGCTCTGAACCATTCCAAATATGCAGTATTTGCTGTCAGGAGCGTCTAAATCTGAATTTTTCTCTGTTAGATTGTGAAATGTAATAGTTTACTCACCGTTTTCCCTGTCAAGGCACTTAAAGACATTACTGCCAAGAGTTCAGCTCATACCATCAATACATTGCTATCCATGCATACTGTCAGTGAACACAACTATGCAATTTTATGTGGCATTTGCAAGTTTAAATACCGACTCCTATGACAAAAAAGTTAATATATTCCTCCCACCACAGCATATTCAGCTAAAACCTGATATGCAGAAGTCAGTGGCAGAAGTTGTCTTTCCAGTGTAAACATTGAAGCATGCTACTCCATTCTATTGCATTTCAGATTTGGAGTGATGTGAATATGGACTTTGCAGTGTGTAGTTCAAGTTGCATCACAGTTTAAACCTTCTTGTGCCGTTTTTCCTCTGATGTATCTGGTTTAAAAAACTGGATTTGTTTGATGGAGCTCCTCGTGAATGAATGATTCTGTTTTAAGAATTGTTTTTTGGTCAAATGTAAGCAGCTTTTCCTTTTTTTTATGGGTACATGTTTCTTTCAGGCTCACTTCATTTTATGTGATCATCTCAGCCTTTCACACGTTTCAAATTTGACATTTGGATCATTTGTTGGCTCATCCTCACAGAGAAAAGTCAAACTTGCAGCTGTAGATGAGGTTGACTTCAGCAAATCGCTGATGGTGACATTTGTTTGGAAGCAGATAGTTTGTTCACAAATGTAAAGCCAGAGTTTTTTTTTTTTTTTGGAAACTTTCCAAATAGGCAATATTTACAAAACAGAGGGAGAGGAAACAATATGCTTCCAAAGGAATGTCTTGACACCCAAAGAGTGAAGAATCGGGAAGGATTTGTATTTTTTTAAAAGAATGTATAATGTGAAAATGTTTGCTTATGCTTGTTTCGTATAAAGTAATATTAACTTTCTGAATTGAGAGCAATATGATACTAATAAAACCTTATCCTTGTCACTGTACTTTTTCACAGTTTATTATAATTACATTAAAAGCGTGCTTTTCCTCTTCTGGTCACTTCTGCGATGGTAAGGTCACATCCTGGAGAGATTTCCTCTGTGGGAAATAACTGGTTAATTTTCAAAATCTGCAATGTGAGACAAATAAAGCTGTTTTCAGACATGTACTGAAGTCTAGATAATAATAATGTTTCCCCCACACGACAGATGAAGAACTGAAAAATACAAATAACTCTGAATAAAAAAGAGGCAGCATACACGTAGAAGACGAAGATGTTAAGGGAGCTTTCATGATAAAGGTCCTGCCGGTGTCTAAATGTGCTCACTACTGCTCCGGAGATCTCTGTTAAGTTGTGAATGCATCTAACCGCATTGTTGATGTGCTAAAGGCAAAGACTGGAGAAAGTCTGGACCCCATTCTGCAGACGTCCCCTGGAGTTCATGTCTGAAAACAGCTTCAGGGTGAGAAACAGAAGCTCTCACCACTAGAACATCACTGAGATCCTTCAGGTCGTTCAGTACCCTCTCACACATGTTCATCCCCTCGGACAAGGTCACCAGTCTGTTGTTGACCTCCTCCAGCTGCTGTGAAGGGACAAGTCACCAGTTCTTTTGGTCATAGATCCAAAGATTCATGTTTGAGATTAAAACTGACCTGTTTGACAGTTGAAACACCGTCTTCAGTCCTCAGTGTCAGTTTATCTGCTGCAGAGTCTGCAAACGTTTCACACAGAAAGTTCCATAAATGCTGACAAACGTCACAAGTAAACTGATAAATGTTGGATTTATTACCTGTGTCAGAAGCCATGACAACAGACATGTTGGTTCTATAAACACGTTTCCACTCTGTGTGTTTTTAAGCAGGCGCTCACAGGTGATTTCAGTCTGTCTAATGAACGAGGGCGGGTCACCACATTTCTGTGCCCAAAGTGTCTGCAGGAGGTTTTGAACAAATGCCAGAACATGCTCGAGATATTACTTCATCTTTCACGAATAACACAGAGTCTATATAAGACAACCACCCGCTCCTTAAGTCCCACACCTTCGTTTCAAATTGACTCTGTCAAAGATATCCAAGAAAACAGTATCATGAAGACCCATGGACTCATGGAGAGGAGGCCTATAGATTCTTCTGGAGTTGATTTAAAAATGTTTTATTATGTATTATTGTTATTATCATTAGTGGTAGAATTAGTAGTAGCAGAAGTAGATGTCGCAGCAGTCGTAGAATAATTCTTCTTCTTTTTATTATTATTATTATTCTGTGTCATTTGTTGTTAATGTTTCAGTGTTGGCTGCTGGCCCTTTAAGACGCGTGTCGTGATCGTTTAAGGGGCGTAACCCGGAAATCTTCGTCACTTGATCGATCGACAGCACGTTGCTCGTGTGTGAAGCGAATCCTCCCTGCAACATGAAGTGTGTGTGATGAAGCGTGTGTGTGATGAAGTGTGTGTGTGATGAAGTGTGTGTCCTATGAAGTGTGTGCGTAGCGTCGCTGGTGAACTGATCAGACCCGGAGCTGCTCCTCGTTCAGCCGCAGCTCGTCGCCTCGCAGCGGACATGTGTAAAGAGCTGAGGACCAAAGTGCTGCGGTTCCTGCCGCCGACCTCCAGCGGGCCCACGGTGCACCAGGAGCAGACAGGTGAGTGTGTCACAGCTGGAGAACCAGAGGAGAACACGTGGCCCTGTCTGTGTTTGCATCAGCCCTACTCAACATTACAGTGTGTTACATCAGATTCCTGCTTTTCCTGTTGTGACGTAGACCTGCACAGCTCAATGTCGGACAGTAAAGTTAATATCATAATAATAATACACGTTATTTGTCGAGCAACTTTCAAAACACAGTTACAAGGTGGTGAACATTTAAAAAATGAAGACAAACTATAAGAAACGATTTAAAACACAGCAACAGAGTGCAGACAGAAATGAAAACGATTCACTGGTGAGAAAAGTTCCAAAACAAGATCAAATGAAACATAAGAATTGTTAAATTAGAGATAAGATCAGAATATGTTTAGTTGATAAACACACAGCTGACACCCACAGAGCAGTTTGTCGCTCAGTGTTCATCATTCATTTCTTTTTAAGAATGAACTGGATTCATAAAACATTTTTAGGGATTGTACCTAATTTTCTCCAATCGGTTGGTCATGGCCAGAGAAGGGACTCATACATGTGTCATCACATTTAAAGGTTTCATATTTAAACAAACAGCAGTGACTGCCCCTTTATCTCTATTAATCTTATAATTCCTTGAGATGTTTTTATGCCTCCACGCTGGTGAAAGCCAGTTGGCGGAGACATTATGTTGTCGGGTCCGTACGTCCGTCCCAGTCTGGCACAAACATTCACTTGGACGCACTTGATTTTGTTAGCCAAAGGTCAGAGGTCACGGTGGCCTCAGTATGTTTATCTTGAATTGAATCATTTAAGACCAGCTCGAGGGAATGTCTTCAATTGTGGCACAAACGTTCACTTAGACTCAAAGATGAACTGATTCGATTTTAGTGGCTGAAGATCACAGTGACCTCATGAATCTGGAAGTTAAATCATGTTTACAGAAACTGGTGGGGGGGGGGATATAAAATCGTGGTGCTGTACTTCTAGTTACACTGTGTTATCATCATACTTGTCTTCACTGTGGGTGTTGCCTCGTTGACCCTCGTTTCTTTTGAACGGCAGATGGTGCTGACATCCTGAGATGCACGGCGAAGGCCCTGAAGGAGGGTCACGTTGTTGCCGTGCCCACAGACACCATCTATGGCCTGGCGTGTCTGGCTCAAAACTCTGATGCTGTCAGAAAAACATACGACGTCAAGGGGAGGAACGGACACAAGCCGCTGGCCATCTGTGTGGGAGAGATCCAGGATATCTACAAGTAAGTGAGAGGAAGACGCTGATCTGGGTCCAATGTTAAAGCAGCGTTAAGCCCACGGCTCAGCTCGATCTCGTTGTCGTGTCGTCAGGTACTGTAAGGTGAACGTGAAGGAGGAGCTGTTGGGTGACCTGCTGCCCGGTCCCGTCACTCTGGTGTTTGAAAGATCTGAAATACTGAACAAAGATCTCAACCCCTTCACCTCGGTAAGTTCACTCCCACAAGTGGATCTCTGTGAAAATATGTCACCAAATGATTTAATAATAAATATCCTCTATCCCTCAGCTTGTTGGTGTGCGTATCCCAGACCACACCTTCATGAGGTGTCTTTGCCAGATGTGTGGGGAACCACTGGCGCTCACCAGCGCCAACATCAGCGCACACACCAGCACTCTGGAAGTACAAGTAAGTGGAGACGATGCAGGAAGGAAACATGAGACAGGACAAGTAGAGAGTCTTAAGTTCATGTTTTTAGGTTTCACTGTTTCCCAGCAATGAACTTCAGATTGGAAGAATTTTACTCTTTTATTTTATTTTGTCTTTAACTAAACTGCTGTTTTTCTTCTGAAGGAGTTCCAGGAGCTTTGGCCCAAACTAGCCGTGGTGGTGGATGGTGGACCAATCACAGACAAGAGCCGACTCGGATCAACCGTGGTCGACTTGTCAGTGCTCGGGAAATATCACATCATCAGGCCTGGCTGGTAAGTTCCTGCTGCCACACTACATGTACAGTTTTCACAACCTGCAGTGACATAAGACTTTAATTTTCAAATCTCAGGATAAAATCAAACCAAGTGATGATACGCACAAGATTATTTCAACAATGACTAAAAGTTTAGCAAAGGAAAACCTCAAACAATACACACTTTTCCTATAATACATGTTTGACCTCTGCAATGTCAACCAGTTGAGGCATCATGCAAAGTAAATGGATTTAAAGTGAAAACTATACGGTCACGTTACATTTCACTGCAGCTAAACTGGACCTGAGGATGTGATGTGAGCTTCAGGTTTCAGTTTTGAAAAACGCTGAGTTTAAACGTGCATGAGACTGATGATGCAGTTTGTCATCAGGTCGTGTAACAATTGTTCTCGAACTATGTGATGGGACATCAGTAGAGGGACGTCTCCATTTCCACACTCACAGCAGCTGCGTTACTATTGGCTGATTGTGCAGTTTTATATACAGGGTGAAGTTGAATAGAAGGTTCAACTAAAATGTTCCAAAACCTTGGGGAGAAAATTCAAGTGTCTGAAGTGTGTAGTAAAAGTGTGATCGTCGTTGTCGGCCACAGACTCCAAAAAATGTGTCGGTAAAGTTCTGGCTTTTTTAATAATTTTGCAAAAGCATCAGAGCTCGTGCATGATTTGCGAAACCTGAACATGAAAAGAAGAAATGATGCTGTGGAGGTGGAAGCTTATTCTCCTGAATAAAGATGGAGAAGCAACTCTTTATAAATCATCAGAATGAGGACGAGCCTCCCATGAATCTCCTGGAAACAAAACGAGTCTGAGCAGACAGAAGATTTAAATTCTCTGACCACTGAAACTGCTCCCGGGATGATTGTTGGTTAAAACATGGCTGCAGTTTACGACACAACTGATGAGTGATGAAATGTCACACGGAGTCAGTGTAATATTTTGTGTTTGTTCTCCACATCGTGACTCAGCTTCCCCTCAAAATCCTCCCTCACTAAATCTGAGGGAGCCTCGCTACATTAAACAGGACATGTCTAATTCTGTTTTTCAGCGCCCTTTCTTCCACGGTTGATGTGCTGGAGCGCAAATATGGACTGTCAGCGGACTCGGACAAATGACCTTTGAACTCTCAACACTCCACAACACGGGCTGAGACGCACAATTAGCTTTGACCTCGGGGCTTCCTCAGAAAAGAAGAAATCCTTTTTCTATTTTTGTGTTCACATAGAAGAACAAGAGACTAAAACTTGGGAACAAGTCTTAAACGACCGATGGCCGAAGTTGTTCTGGTGGAGGCTTTAAGATCTGGGGTTACTTTTTCCTTTGATGCTTTACCATGTTCCGACTATCACATTATGTGGGATTTTAAACTGAGTGTCAAAGTTATCAACCATTTATTTAGAAAAATAAAGTCTGCTACATTTGGGAATTTCTTTGTTCTGTCAAAGCAACTTGGCATCTCTGAGAATACACTGGTTTGAGTCAATATTATACTTTTATTTTGATAACGGTCAGAGGTGTGATTTTAGATGTTTGACACGTCTCCACTTCCTCCCACTGTCCAGAACAGAAGCCAAAATATTGTGGATATGAATCTGCCATCTCACAGAGATTACATCATTTGGAGTCTGAGCTGCAGTGTTGAGGTCCCAATGTTTTATACACACACACACACACACACACACACACACACACCTCAGTCTCAACATTTGGACTTACATCAGTGTGACAAGAACCTAATAGGACAGAATCCAACTTTGAGAAAAATTGATTTGATGTGTACTTTGATTTTATTTTGGCCCGTGTCCCATTCACTAAAATGGAGGAGGTGCGGTTTTGGACCTGTATTGCAGCCAGCCACCAGGGGGCGATGAAGGTGCTTTGGCTTCACTTTTTGGGAGCTGTCATTTCATCCATCTTCATTTACAGTCTGGATGTGACAGGCGCCCAACATGTGGCCTGGATGAGTCTTGTTGACAAGATACACAGATGATCATTTAAAATGCACTGATTGTGCATCAAAGTTTGAGTTCAGAACTATTTTTTAATTAATTTATGAATGTTCTGTTTACAATTGGTCGGCAGCTGCGGTCACAGTAACTGTTTTTATGTCGTAGCTTAAAATAAGTTTATACATTTGAAAATGCTGCTGTAACACATCAGGGTCATGTGGTTGAGCACGCGGAGCAGGTTTAAATTCATCACCGTGCGTTGACTCATTTGATGAAAGTGCCACAATAAATTCTCAGTTTTCCATACTCAGTCTTTGTCATTCATAAAAAGCTGTTTGAGACAAACCTTATTTAACTTTCTGATTCTTTATGGCGTATGAAATCAGTACTTCAATACTTAGGTGTTTTGTTGTTTTAAGTGTCCTTCACATGGACATCAACCAAATAGATAGAACTTTTTTTTTATTGTCTAAAGTGTCTGAAATTCCTTTGATCAAATGTAAATCACACAAATCCAGATCACAGAGTTTTTTTATTCAAATCACTGAGACCGAACTTTCAACACCTTCAACTTCTGATTCTGGTGTTTTTACCGAAAAGAAAATCACGATCACCCAATGACCTTTTCATAAAGAGAATCACACCAAAATTCCGATTGATTCGGGGAGCTCTGTGAATATATTCATAATAAAAAGGCCAAAGGATGTTTTTGTTCTTTAGGCATTAGGCAACTTGCAGAAACTCCATAGATTCACTTTACCAGGCAGATAAATATTCCAGCACACAACACTTGTTACAACTATGTTTTTATATTTCAGCTTATGTGTTGATTAAACAGTTTTAGTGTTAAGTATTGGTGGGTAGATTTAGTTACAGCTGGACAGAATCAAGTTAGCTGCCTCTTCATGTTTCTAGTTTTAATGCTAATAAAACTCTCCTCTTACGTACTTAACCCCCACCCGCTGCTTTTAAAACATCATGTTCTCATCATTTCAACAAGTTCTCAATGTTAGTGTCCCACTAATGCGATCAATTCTATTTGACTTTAGAGAGGCCAAATGAGAAGGTTGCATGGTGACACGTATTTCAGGCAGTAGTTTTTACAGTTTGAGCTCTTTTTGAAGTATGTAAAAACATCAGAGACAGTTTTACACAGCATTCTAATAGTACGTACCCCAGACTGACTTTTTAATGGAGCTTTAACCAAAGCAACCTCATACAGTCTTGTTCTTGCAGATCAGCGTGTGTTCACAAAATACATTAACAAGAACTCTCATATCCAACTTAGTTCAAAAGTAAAAGCATCTTTACATTCACACCCCACTCGTGTACACACCGTAAATAAAGATGGTTGACGTATCACCCCTCCCCTCTGCCATCTTGAGCTGTTGATGTCATTTAGAGCCAGAGTCTGAACTGTAGCAATCCTGGAGCGGCGCCACAGTATCGAGGGTCCAACCCATTATGACATTTCACTCATCAAATAACTAATTAAAACCAAAGTTACCTTAAAAAAACCTTTATTAGAGTGAGAACATGTCTGACACCATCTGAGGCAGGGTTTATGACCTGTACAGCAGCCAGCCACTAGGGGAGATCCAGATCATTTAGCTTCACTTTTGGGTAGCTGTCACATCGTCCATCTTTATTTATGGATGAGTCTTTGCATTCTCTCTCATCTCGTCCGCTCCATGTGAACATCCACTGGAACACGCTGTTTCACGTGGGTTTGTGAGCTCACATGAGCCACTGCTCCTTCTCTTTGTTGAACTGCTCCGCCCAGCGGCGGGTCAGCTCCAGGTAGTGGTCGGGTCCATGTGGCTGGTAGTCCAAGTACACGCGGGTCACAGTTTTTTTAGGCATCGCTCTCTCTATCTGCGTCCCCTCGTGCCATTCGTTAAAAGACGTGATAGTGACCATCTCAGGCCGGACGTTGAGCGCCGCCTGCAGGGCCGTCTCGTAGTAGCGACCGTTCACTCTGTTGCGTGTGTTGTGGTTGTTCCACGGCCGGATGCTGGTGTCGATGTAACCGGGCCCCACGCTGGGGATGAAGAGGAGGTTGTTGCCGTCACAGAAAGCTTTGATGGCCTTCCAGTTCTGGTGAGACGAGCCGAAGGAGAAGCCGTTGGAGGCGAAGTACGTGTACATGCCGTCGAAGCCACCCGCCAGGATGTCGTGCTTGTGGCGCTCCTCCACGATCAGGGCGATGAAAATGGAGTCATAGGCTGAGCCGCGAACACTGTGGGAGCCGGTAGGAGTCAGGAACTCAGACCAGGCCTCTGGAGGCGTTAGGTAGGAGTCGTAGATGTAAAACAGAGGAAGACTCTTCCCGGTGCTGGAGGTGAACTTGTAGAACGCTCCGTGGTCACCGTACCTGTGAAGACAATAACAGCCAAAATGACAGCATAACAGATTGTTCTTTAAAGGAAGACAGAAAACCGATTACTTTGCAAACATTAGAAGAAAGTTTGTTTTCAGTCCCATGACTTTTCTATTGAGTCTGGAGAATAAATAAAATCGAATCTCTATCAGTTAAATGGATTTATTATCCACTGACGACCATTACTGTGGTCAGCAGGAGCCACTGTAATCTGTGCATTAGCTTGTCAGACATGGTGAGTTTCAAACTGACATTGGAACACGAGGACAACAAGAGAGAAGATACATTTCCCTGGAGATACAAACATTTGTAAAGAGCTAATGAAAGAGCTAATGAAAAGTTACAGAAGGGAACTAAATCTCTGGATCTTCATACAACATTCAGTGACAACCTGACCAGTGATTGGTTACCTTGCTCAAAGTGTTGGGCAGACACACCAATCACCAGAGCGTCTCTATCGAGGCAAAATATGAAGATTCGCTTGTTATTTGCTTTTGAAAGATTTTGGGAAACTGAAACCTTTTATTGGATTGACCTTTTTTTGTTCCTTTTCAGAGTAGCCCCAGAACTACATGTTGGAAAATAACTTCAAACAACTCATTCATAAGTCATGAGTCTGGTCTTATATCATCAGAAAAGCTTACTTCACATCTTTCTCTTGCATGAAAACTTAATGTTCTTCTATTTGAGCTGACACAATGATGGAGAAGTGCCTCCAGACGAGCTCCTACCTGTCAATGATATACTTGATGTTGTCATGCACGCTCTGGTCGTTCCGGCCTCGGTACGGCTGGATGTGAAATGCAACCTGGGAAAAGATGCAGACAGACTGTTGGTTTCCATTCATCATATTAGTGTCATTAAAAACAATAATGCTGCAGTCAGCACTTACACATGACCTTTATAAGTATTGACAACAGTGGAGAGGCTCCGTAGCGGGTTGACAATCCAAGTAGAAAGAATGATTCATGTAACTCCTCTTAGTAAACTAAAGAGTAAAAAGAAATGTTTCTACCATTTTAATTATTAACAAATGACTGATTGGCAGATTTGACCCTACAGCAAAACATGACACCAAGCTACAGCCCCACAGATGTTGATCAATACTATCGGTCGATTTGAGCCGTTCACAGACACATCTGCGCTCCAATGTCGCAAGAAAGGTCTGTTTCCAGTTCAGTGGAGTCTTTAGTTACAAAGAATCTTTCCTACAGAATGTGGCTGCAGAGAACCACATTTTCAATCTTTTCCTGACAAATAACGTCAAACTGTGTTTTTCTCCCGGAGTGGAAACTTCAGAATATGTATCTGTAAGATATTATTATTGCGATTGATGAACAAAAGCAGCAGAGGAACAAGGGACCCAAAGTGACACGGACAAGAAAAGTAGAATATTTTAAGGGCACACCCTGAGAATTCAGTGACTTTGAATAATGTATGATCGTAGCGAAACACTTTTCTTCTCCAGCAGTGGACACCCAGGGGGAACAATGTGAAGGAAAATGGCTTTTTTAATATAATGGATGCCGACAGGAGGTAAATGGATGTGAGTTGTCATCAGCAGAACTGAGACAGGGTTGACTGAGTCTACGATGTAAAGCTACTGTTTTAAACCAGATGTAAACCTCAGGTAAACCTGCATGCAGTGTGATATTTAGCTTTAAACATTATCCAGCAATTGATTTATGAAAAAGCTTCTTTGTTACCTGTGGTAATAGTGTCAGGTAAAATCACAGACTGAGTACCTTTTCTCAAAGATGGTTTCTGTCAAGTTCTTATCGCACTGATGTTTGGTCAAGTTCTCACTTTGGTTTTAATGAGTTATATGATGCATAAAAAGGGATGAAACCATGATTGCCAACTGAGACTGGATCCCGATTGGTCGAGCTTGTATTTCAGCGGGATCTTGATATCAAGGCTCCTCCTCCTGATCACTGATGCGCTGACTCTGGCTCCTTAAAAGCAGAAGTTGGCTGCTCCTGGATCTGGAATATTTCGGCTTGATTTTTGTGTAGATGCCCTGTCCATCTTAATATACTGTCTATGAGAGACACAAAGTGCTTTTATGTGCAACATTTTTATGGTGCCAGAAGGATTTTACTTCCTAAATAAAAATATTAGTAAAGATCCAGGCCTCTTGAAATCCAAAACTCTCTGTGCACAGTGAAGTGAGATCTGTATTGAACCTATGTTAAAACGTTGTGTGAGATATTAGAGAATATAAAGCCACATAATGATCAGACAGATGTGGGGGGGCATTCTGCTCCCCTGTTCATTGCAGCAGAGGGTCGGCCACCAGAAAACTCGGCTCATTTTCCAAACACACTGGAACATTACTCGGCAGTAATTTAGAAGTAAATGAGACAGGAGTCACATTTTAAGACCTCATAAACATTGACAGCATGAGCCTGGAACCAGCCCAGCGTGATTTATGCTGAGCAGAATGGAATTTAATGCCATGTCATGCAGAAAGCAATGAGGCAGGGATGTGAACCAACGCTGAGATAAAGGTCCAGACAATTAGATCGATTTCAACAAAACTGAGCATTTTCTTTATTCCAGATTGTCAGATTCACTCTGTAGCCAGTGGATGCACACACCAATGTAAGGTCACAAAGGACTGAAGTCTGTGCTTCTGGAAACAAGGAAGTATCCCTGATGCCATCACTGGGCACCCACGGGCCATATTTCCCTGTGTACATGCAACTACATGGCCTACTTACTAGATGGAAATTCTACAGCCCCTCGGGGGGCAGATTGTTCAGAGGCAAAAACGGAGTCATGGGACTCGTGATGCACATTATCCCTCTGCTCCTTCCCTCCTGCACCTAGCTTCCAACCCCCCCTCTGTCCCCATCAAACCGCCCCCACCCTCCCCTGGGCAGAAAGACTATTTCGGCTCCTCTTCAAGCTGAGGTCGAGCAGCGGCACCGCTGTGGAGGCTCCATGTGATCTGCTCTCCAACCCAACAGCCATACACGATCCAAGAGCCGTGTGTGGGTGCTGCTGAAATCCTGCTCAATTTATATAATAATCCAAAAAAGTACATTGTTTTATTTTGTGGTGGTGCACAGAGAGGGATCTGTGTGTTTTTAGCAGTGAGCTGAGGGATCGACAGTGTGATGGGTTTGTTTTTAGCTCTGCTCCCGTTTCCATTAATCCTCAAATTTCAAGCAAAGACAACATGAAAAATACCAGATGTCCTCTGGTTCTTGTTTAATATCTAAATAAAACACAAATTAAGATTTCACTACATACAGCCTATGTATATATACTTCTAAGAATATCTGACACAAGCTCTCTATCAGAAAAAGTGTTTAATGTGAACTTATAAAAGTATTGTATAAAGTACTTATAAAAGTTACAAAAACTTAGTTTGGTAAATCCACTAACACGGAGGACACAGGGATTATGATTTATACTATTTGCCAGGCACCAGGGGGTGATAAGACACTGGTTTCACTTTGGTATCTTTATATACAATCTATGGTCGAACCCAGACAAGCGTTATATTTAAACTAGGAACTAGACTCTCGAGGGCCGGATGTTTTCTGATGCATTTCTCGGATTAGCCACATTGCTTCTTCAAACACGTGGCTGTTACCGCTGCTCCTGTGAGATCATCTGTCTCTGTTCCTCTGGGCCTCAGAAACGAGCAAATAAATGATTTTACGTTGTTGCTTCTGAAAATTAGCATAAGTAGCTGCAAATGATCAGAGCCAAAGTTCCTTACCTTGTCAGCGTTTTTGCAGAAATTATGCAAGAAGAAGCACTTCTAAGTTAAGTGTCAGTGCAGTGGGAATAGTTCGTCACAAACAGGATGCTTACAAACGCAACGCTCAACACGCGGCTGCTGTACATGCACTGTAATTCAAGAGCTGCTCTAAAGACACAAAGACATGCAGCTTCTTCTCATTGCAAACATGTACGTGTTGATTTATAGAAAATATACAATCCGTTTTTTTCCACATATTATTTTATAATTATGTAATGCGAGCTGGGTCACTGATGACAATCAATCGTTGCATTAAATTCAATCTATTAGCGTCTCCCCTGACAGCACCATTTGTAAAACCTTGTCAGCTCAGCGTTGCGTATCTAATCCTGTCCTTCTTGTCGTGCCCTTGCACAGATACATTATTTCTTTGCCTGGAGCCAAACAACAGAGTGAAAAAAAAACTGTGATATCAAATCTGACAAGCCGGCCTAACAGACCTACTGCCTCTCATCCCATTGGTTCAGACAGTGAGAGGTCAATATGTGTCACGTTGCTGCTGGAGAATAAATCATCTTAATCCAGATACAAACGCAGGAAAGATAATGAAGCTATTACGATGATGATCCTTTAAATTACTTTATGTGACATTGACCTTGTTGATTAATTTAGCCAGATGTAAATGCATGTTTCTTTGAAGGCTTTGTAGTTATTTTTGGTGCTATACATATACCTCAGTGCAGCTACTATGCTAATTTTAGCACAGATACAGTAGTGAAGGAGGAGCAATTATTAAAAACACAGGCAGGTGCTCAGAACTGTTGAAAAATCTAAACACTGTGGCCTCAGTTAAATATTTTATTTCCGATGAACTTACTTCTAAGTTGGCATTGATTCCTCAAAACTAACTAATGTAAAAAAAAATTATTGCGGCTTGATATTTTACAGTTTAACCATTAACTTCATTATAAAAAACTATAAATGAAAAGAGAACGCAAATATGAACATTTATGTAAACTTTATGTAAAATGTGACCATAAATTCACATCTTTTCTGTGTTTTTTATTCTATGAGGTAAACATATTCATAACAGCAAAATAAACTGATATATCTGTGAAAGGCTCATATTGGCCAATATTATTGACCAATATTATCGTGTGGCTCAACTCAAAACATCTTGTTTTTTCAGTCCAAAACCCAAAAATATTGACTTTACAATTATATTTGAGAAAGAGTAGAAGTAAAATATATATTTGAGGCTGAAACTAAAGAATGTTTGGCATTTTTAACGACTTTTCCGCTGAATCAACTAATTGATTCCACTTTAAAAATTCAGACGAAACCTGATGTTTTTTACGTTTCAGCAAGGACTGCTAAAGGGTTTCTCCTGTTCTTGGTCCTTTAGCATCTGGTCTGCCTGATATTTCTTTACTTCAAATGTGTAGTGTGCTGTGCAAACACTGTTGGTGCATTATTAATGGAATGCTTTGACACAAGAAACCTCTTACAAGCCAGCCTCTGTTACACACTATGTCATTTTAAATGCATTCATATAGAAAGAATGGCAGCTGGGTAGATTCTGATCAGAACACATGCTCACATGACGAATCTCCCTTCAGCTTTTAGAAACATTTTACAGTGGATGTCTTTCAAAAAGGACCTGGAACACTCAGAGAGAGCAATGTATATTCTTGTGTCTCGCTCCCCTTCCTTTACTCTTTCTGTATCTGAACAGCATCTGACATGAATTGTATCGCATTACGAGCAAGCATTACCCGTAAAAGTTTAATAAGCCTGCGATTCAGTGACAGGAGGCAGAAGGACCAACACAGTTGTTTTCTCCATCGCACCATTTTCCGACCTAATTGGCAATAGGTCATGTGGTACTGTTACTCCCCCACCTCTCCACCCTGCTGATGTGCTCCTGAGCTCATTCAGTCCTCACAGAACTACTGATCCAGCTGCAGCAGCAGCTCTTTGCCCCATTTTTAGGATAAGGGATGTCACTGCAGCATCCAGAGTCAAACCCATGAGTGACAGGGACAGCTTTAAATGAGACTGAGCAGAACCAGCTGAGCTTCAGCAGCTCTCGATCTTACTCTCCAGTGGCAAGAGGAAACTGCAGCTTTCACATGTAACTCATTAAAGCACAAAGGCTGTTTTAAAACTACTTTTAGAGTTAATTGTATGTGTTTTTAGCTGAATTTTATTCTTTGACTTTGTTATTTTAGTGTTATTGTTTTTTAGTTATGTTCTATTTGTTACTTGCTTTTGTATTTTTTCATCTGTTGGGAGTTTTTGTCGTTGTTTTGCCTGTAACCTTTTATGCTACTCTCTTGGCTGCATCTTTCTTGTAAAGGAGTCTTGTTCACTGGAACTACTTGGTTGAATAAAGGTTAAATCAATAAAAATAAAAGTATATATCAGCACTATTGAAAACCAACTCTTCCATCAGCTGCTGACATTAAAATGGACAGGTCATTGAAGAATCATCGCTCATTTTCCAGTGACAGTTTTGTGTATGCAGTGAAAAGTGAGCTGAAGATGAGGTTTATTGCTCTTAGCCCTGAACTCTTTCCACGCATTGTTTCTGGTATCACACAAAATGCGTTGATGCCTTTTTACCTTGAGGTTGTGTCTGTATGCAGCATCCAGTAGAGCTGGTACCAAATCCTCAGCGGGCTCCCCATTGTCGTCAGCCAGGCCGGGAGGATACCAGGACAGGACCAGAACCCCTAGAGATACAAAAACACAACTCTGAGGCCAAAAGCACTGGTGAATACCTCAGAGTGTTCTGCTATCTGCTGAGAAACTATATCTAAAATGTTAGCTCATGCATTGTTGCTGTGATGTATGGATTTCGTGCAGATTCCCAGAAATGCTGACAATCCTGCAGGGAGAAAAACAGGGTGAAAAACGTTCACTTCCATGAATCTACACTGAGATTTTGACACAGCCTTTCACATGGTTTTACAGACTCAGTTGAGAAAAGTGAGAAAACAGTCAGTTTTGCTTTTATCTAAAGATCTGTAATATCAATTAGGGTGATTTTATTGGACTGAGACAGACACTGATTAGGTTTGTGGCAAGATGCTATGTGCATGGATGGATGATGAGACAATGGGTCTTTCGGCACAGATAAGCAAAAGACACCTGACCCTTAGTGTATAAGGGGCCAGAGACACGAGACTTAAAACAACTTTAAACAACATTCTGCCTCTCTGGACATTTTCAGCTTTATCTGGTCCTTTTGCATCTGCGTTCATTTTGTGCCTCATTATGTTTTATTGCTTCTCTTCGGGGTGATTTTGCATCACTTTGTGGTTATTTTGTATCTTTGTCATCGTTTTGTGTTTATTAGTGGTCATTTGTTTTGCATTTTTGTGTAGTGATTGTTCTCTTGATGAACTCAACCATGGCGGTACAGAGGAGAGTTGTTTGTTTGAATGCTGACCTGCCCATCACCCATATCCTGCATTTGATTGATTAATTGATGTGTTAGTTGCGATCTCTCTGCACGGACCGAGTTTGTGACAGCTCATAAATTTCAGCAGGGAAATGCTTGTTCATGCTCTGATGCAGGTTTAGTAATGACTTCATATCGGCCACAGGGGTTCCTGGCTCCAGAGGAGATCCGGCACATTGGCTATGCACTCGGAGTTCACTCATTAAACACGTCTGCTTGCTGAGGAGCTGTGGAGACAATTAGATTACGATGCTGAATTATATCTGCATGCATAATAAAAAAAATGGCCACTGCTGTTCATTTTGTTAATGTGTTTCTGAAGTGGGATTAGTCGTCCCTCCATGAGACGTGTGCCGGCTGTGGTGTCTAATTAAATGGATTAGTTTAACTTAGTATTGTGAGTCGTCCATGATCCATCTGTCAGGGACGGGGAGGTTTCAGAGGGCTGGGTGATCTGGTCATTATTCTGGATGGTGTAAACAATATCCTACTGCGCCGCAGGACCGACACATCAGGACCTATCATGTTTTGGCTGCTGATGGCTGGACACACGTGCGGCTGTTACTCGACACCAGAGCACAGGACTGTGTCTTTGAGGGAAGCCACAAGTGTGTTTTTACTTTTAAAAAAGCTGAACAACAAACTTTACATTTCATGATAACTGCTAATAACTGATCTAAGCCTGGAATTGAGATAAGGAACATTAAGTCTGGACATCCTTGCAAACAGCATCCAATTGAGTACAAGTGCTTTAAATTAAGATTATTGCATTCGCCTCAGAGATTTGAAAGCTTTGTTTTCATAAATGTCTTTATCATTAAAATCATTTTTTTTTATTTTTTTTTAAAGGTTTTCAACAAACCAATTTCAATGTTGTGTGCTATATTCCATATAACTTACTCCTATCATCACTACTTACTGCCACGTTACTTTAGTATTAGTTTACTCTCTCACATAGCTTACTAAGTTTACTGTTTTTCCATTTCTATTGTCATTTCTATTGAGCACTGATTCTGCATTAGGCCATTTACATGTTTTGCTTTCACTTTCAGCACTTTTTAGCCTGCGTTCACTTGGCTAATACACGTTATACTTTTATTTTTAGATGTGCCAC